ACACAGGGCATAATTATTTACTGCTCCATGTGGTTTGCATCCGTGGTATACTATGCTCTCTTATTCATTTAAACTATACCTACACTCTCCTCAATGATAAGAGCACACTGTAATAAACGTATCTTTCTACTGACAGTTTAGAAGAAAGGTTAGATTGACTATTTAAATCAACTTTCTGTTAGGTAAATACAGTTGCGATATGGCTAAAGTTACCAGCAGTTCTGCTGGGTTTTCTAGTCAATCCTTCCACCAGTTTATATCATAGCAGTGAGGAAAATGGCATTAAAGACTTAAACATATTCAAGCAATCTTTAGTTAGTGAAATGTCCACCTCAGATATACTCTGGATGGGTTAATCCTGCAGTAAAAGAAACACTTACTCTGACAGGTAACTATTAAGAGAAATGATTATATAGTACAGTTGATTGTGTTGTCAGGGTACTCTAACAACCTTCAAAATCATTTCAAAACTTCGACTTTTCATCCAAAACCAACCTATTTTCCCTGGAAAGAACAGTCATGTAGTTATTCTTCAGTAATTTGGACATGGATAAAGAAAAGAAAAAATAGGTTTTGTAACAAAAGTCTCCAGTTCTTTCTTTTTATATAGATAGCTAAGACTTGATTTTTCAGAAATATTTTCAGAAATAAAGTAAACATTTGGCTTTGACTTTTCTGATGTGCTAGAAATGATTGTCACTTTTCTTCCCCCAAAAAAGACTTGATTTGCATCCCAAGGTCACTGATTGCTCTCCTATCTCCTTTCATGTTGTTACTACGCCTGGGCACCTAACAGGCACATAAGGGGAGATCTCCTTATCTTTCTTTTCCAAAACACGTGCTTTTTTTTTTTTTTTTTTAAGTAGCTGGTTTGAGATCGAAAACTAAACCACTTACTAAGGTAAAGCACTTATCGCTGAGCTTTTCAACCCAAAGGTGACAAAGCAGAAATGCTTGGGCTACCAAAGTGATAGTAAGCCTACCAGGTCCTTGGCCCCTTGAACCTCACAGGCAGGCTGAGAGTAGACAGTCATACAGAAACCCGACTCCTAACCTGGCCTTTCCACCCTGGTTTTCATGTTGACAAAAGCAGAACTTTTTTGCAGCTGGTCGGCTAGAAAGCAGACTGAGTTAGATCATGGGGGGTGGTGTTCTAAGCTAGATTGAGGCTTTTTGTTTTGTTTTTGTCATTTAGTAATCACAAAACAGTAGGTGGGTATTCCTCTGCCCTTTCCTCCAAAAGATCCATGCGAGACCATTTTAAATACGTCTTCTTCAACTGTATTCTTCCTGGCTTTAATCTCATGCCAAGGGAGACTAATTGATTTGGTACTTTTAAAATAAGCTCTTTGGGAACAGTCTGCATCGAGATCAGAGAGACTGACCTTTCTTCCAATGGTTGCAAGCATGTTCATCACTCCAGATGAGCTTGATAAAACAGGGTTATTTCTATACTGTGGCTCTCTCAGAAGAATTCTGTTTTTAACGACTTAGGGATAAGGAAAAAATATACAAGAGAATTTTCTATACCTATCTGGTCTGAACATTTAGAAAATGTTTGCATAAAGCTACCCTGTTCAGTGTAGTTCACCAAAAAAATTTTTTTTAAATGATCTGCTGTTTTTTGAGATTGCAAAATAGCTATTTCAGGGAGGCCAAAGAATTAGTGGAAAATGGTTCAGGGTATATCTGACATCTTAAAGATATGGATGAGACTATGTTAATTAATTAGAGAGGTTGAATATATCGAGACACTCAGGCCTGGAACTCAAGTCAGTACTGCATGGTTTAGCTACAGATCTCTGCTGCTCTCCTCTTCCAACAGATCATAGCTATTTGCAGGCTGTCGGAATAGGAGAGATCAAGTGTTGTGTGGCAGCGCTTTTAAAAAGTGATTAACCCCAGCCATGATGCTAGCAGCCCACAAGGGGTATTGTGAGGTTACAACCTAATTCCTCACCCCAAGCCAAACATGGTTTCTTACTGCCTTTGGAGAGAACCACACTGGAAACCTCCGGTGCATTGAACAAGTCTGTGGGAATCAGAAAGGCTGAGACCAGACTCCAGAACAAGAGGCCTGGAGGCTAGGCCAGGAGACCTTTCGGTCTAACTTTGAGGGGTGGGGCTTGGAGAGAGTCCTGCCCCAGTGAACCCCATCCGGCTGCTGCGGCCTGCCTGAGCCCTTTTTCAGGCCAGACGGATGTGAGGCAGGGCCACACGGGTCTGAGTCTAATAACCATGCTTAGACTTGATTTCAGTTTGAAGGGGTAGAGATCCTAGAGCGAAGGGCCTGGGTGAGGAGAGAGAGAGCCGTGGGGAAGAGAAGATGGGTGGAAGAAGGATGGAAATGGCTGCAGCATTTTCTGCTTCTGTAGCTGGGCAACTCTGGACACATGTTGCGGATTTCCACAGTTGGGGACCCAGATCCCCTGGAACAATATGTTCACTTTTCTATTAGGAACCCTATCCAACAACAGATAGCTTCATCTTCTTGGTTTGCGCGGGGCAGGGGGGGTGGGTGTTGTTCACCGGACTCAAGACCAGTATGCTAAGTTGGATCACCATCAAACCTCAGCCGCGAACGGATCCCCCAGAACCTCAGTTGACCTCGCAGCCCTTCCACCAAAACCATTTTGCCGGAGCAGAGCACTGAGCACAAGAAGGGTGCTTGCAGCAGCGTGTGGAAGCAGTGTTGAAAGCACTAAGTTCTGACAAGTAATTGAGTCCTAAGGGCTGCTGGAGTCGACCAGGACCTGCAGAAGAACAGGCCTTCTTCGAAAAGTCTCGATTTCACCCTGGCCCTTCTCCCAAACGTAAAGACACCTTTGTCCCCCGAAAGAGCGCTGGCCGCTTGCGCCCTCCGAGAAGCTGAGGACTTCCGCCGTTCTGAGCAGCGCCCACCCCCCACTCCGCGGTTCCAGGGGAGTTCTACCATCTCCCCCTCACTGGCAACGCCAGGGGCCGCAGGAGATCGACTTCCCCCACCCCACCCCCTTTGGGTCACGCCGGGTGCCAAAGGCCTTTTTGCAACTTTGGAGGTTTGGTGGGGGCGGGAAGGGTCTTTCTGTGCAGATGGGTAGACGCCACCTCCTTCCGGGAGGCTCAGCTGAGACTTTTGTCTTTCAGGACCGACCCTGCGCCAGAGCTTCCTTGCAAGACAGGTTCACTCGGGAGCCCACCCAGCCTGGGGGACGCGATCCCTGTTGTCCGCACCCCCCCCCCCACGCCAACGTCCCTTTCCCTCGCTTCGCCCCTCCAGCCCACCCTGCGCGCCCTCTGACGCAAACGCGCGCCCCTGCCTAGCGCCGGGGGTAAAGCGCTCTTGTTGGTTTTAATTGAGTCTCTCTCTCTCTCTCTCTCTCTCTCTCTCTCTCTCTCTCTCTCTCTCTCTCTCTCTCTCTCTCACACACACACACACACACACACACACACACACACACACACGTTCTCCACCCCTGGGAGGCGACCCTCTCCCCGCCCCCAAGCCCGCCCGCTGCAGCTCCTCGAGTCGGGCTCTGCTGCGGAGCGGCGGATTCCGACGCTCGCTCTCTCGCTCGCTCTCTTCCCTCTCCGCCGCCACCGCGGGTTCTCCGCATGGGAGAACCGCTGATGTCCCTTTTAATCTGCTGACACCACCGCCCACATCAAACAGGCAGCCATCGATTGCCTTACAAGAAGGGATCGCGTTACAAACGGCACCCGCAGGTGGGCGGCTGCGCCGAGCTCGCCCAATTGTGGCCGCACCGATCCAAGGTGTGAGCACCAGGCCAGCGGGTCCACAAGCAGCTCCGGCTCGGCGTGGGCATGGAAAGGCCGCGCGGATGCTAAACTTGAGGGTCTGCAGTCCCGGGTCCCTACCCCCGCAGCCATTTCCAGCCAGAGGGGGAGGGCGGAGTTTGGCAGTAGCAGGTGGGAGGGGGGAGAGAAGCCTGTTTTGAATTTGGACGGGTGGTGCCGGGCTGGCAAGATCGTCACCTCCAAGGACAAGCTGCGGCAGAACCCGGGCCAGGCAAAACCAGGTTTGGAGCAGGAAAGTTCTCCCTGTCCCGCTCTGACTGCCCGCATTCCAGTTTCTGCTCGCGGAGGCCGGAGGAATTAAGATTGCCTTCCTGCCTGACCGCATCACCAACCCCAAGTTCAAAAGAAACCATAGCCATTGCATTTACTTGCCTGGTAGGGCAGGACTTGGCCGAATCTCGCTCCTGGTGCCCACGACGCACGGTCCAGGGTCCGGGAGGGGGGTGTGTGACCGGGCAGGCAGACCCCGCGTCCTGCGGCCCTCCTTCCCTGGCTCGCTTGCCTCTCTCTCTCTCTCTCTCTCTCTCTCTCTCTCTCTCTCTCTCTCTCTCTCTCTCTCTCTCTCTCTCTCTCTCTCTCTCTCTCCCTCCCTCCCCCCGTTACTGCCAGCTTCCTCTACTCGTGATTCCCTGCCTCTGCCCGTCTGGGGGAAAAATTAGAATTTGTATACACACAGCTCTCTCTCTCTCTCTCTCTCTCTCTCTCTCTCTCTCTCTCTCTCTCTCATATTGCTTCCCTTTTTCGTATATCTTAATCGTGTTCGTTTTGCATTTGGCTGACCAGAGGGACTTGAGCGCGTGTCTCCGGGCTGCGGGGCGAGGGCCCGGCGCCCGGCCGCCCCGGCGCCTCCCAGCCCTCTCCCGCGTACAATGGGCCTCCGCACGCGGAGCGGAGCGCGCTGACAGCCTCTCCATTATTTGAGCTTGGAGGGGGCTACGGGGAAGGCGTTCGCAAACCTCTGTTCGGGCTCTTGGAAAGATCAGCGCTCGCCCCGAAACGGTGGTCGACTCCTGAGTGGGGTCCACGCTAGTGAGTGCGAGAAGCGTCACGCGTACCCCTACACACACGGTGCTTCCCGAACCCCTCCCCGGTGGGCTCCGCAGTGAGGAGTGCTATTTAAAACATAAATTAAAAAGCAAAACAACAAACCCACGCGCCCTACCTCTGTCCACACAGCGTGGTCCCTGACTTCCCCCCTTTACCTGAGGGCGTGATGGAGCTCGGGACGCACGAGCAGAGCCAAACTTTTACGCTTTCCAGAGTCGAGGGGTGGGCGGACGAGAGCGACTCCCACTCCGGTGACGGCGGCGGCGGCGGCGGCGGCTTTGTCACTCCGCGCCTCTCCGCGCCCGCCTGAGCCTGCCTAGGGGAGCGATCTCAACACGAGGGGGGTGCGAGTGTGGGATTGGAGAATATGTAACTAATAGAAGTATCATTTTCCCCCAGTACGATCTTTCAAGGAAAAAAAATCCATTGAAAGAATTTTCAAAGTGCTTGTCTGGGTTTGGAGAAAAGGCACAGGCTGCCTGCGGGAGGGGAGGAGGGACTTGGCTGTCTGCTACCGGGCAGAGGCTCCCGTCCGCTAGGTGGCAGCCGGAGCCAGCGATTCCTGCTGGCCCCGCGGCGGAACCGCTCCTCCCGCCTGCCCCTCCTCCTGCGACCAATCACCTTCGGGAATGGGGTCTCAGTATCTTAACCTCCCCCACCACACACTCGGGCGCGCGCGCGCACGCACGCACGCGCACACACACACACACACACACACACACACACACACACACACACACACACACTCCTGTTCTCTTTCCTTCTCTCTCCATTCTCCTCCCCTTCTCCTCCTTCCTTTGCTCTTTTGCTGAGAATCTGACTTGGCAGTACTAACAGTCCCCCCGCAACAATATGTGGACTTACTGTTTTATTGATCATGATGAAAGCATTGTTTGGAGTTCCTAACCACCTAGAAATTTAAATCTCTCCCTCTCTATATAATAAAGAAGGAAAACCCGATTGATTTAAAAGTTTATTTTAGAATCATCTTTAGGATGCATAGGAAACCGTGGATTAGCTTTAAGTGTATGGCAACCGCTGCAAATTGCGCGAGTGGCTTTGTCATCATTAAACCTAAAAAACTAAGATGCATTTTGGATCAAAATGTAGGGAGACCCTATCTTTTTTTTTTCTTAAAAGGATATAAAATGAGCAGAATCCTGAGGAAATTAAGCTTTTGTGAGAAACAAGAAAAATCATCCAAACTCAGAACATTTCACAAATCATTAAAAGGATGGGTTTCATTCTCATTAAAAAATTTTTTCCTAATATTTTCAATGGCACTATCTTTACGCTCATAAATCTAATTTCAAAAACTTTTCAGATGAAACAAAAATAATTTCTTTTTCGCCCTCGTTTTTTAACCATCGCATTCTCCCCTCTCCATCCCTTCCCCCTCGTGTGTGTGTGTGTGTGTGTGTGTGTGTGTGTGTGTGTGTGTGACCATAGACGACCCATACTAATCAGGTCTCAGAGTAAATAGCAGCGCAGGGCGATCTCAATGTAAATTGCGCTTGTCAGAAGCACACCCCCCTCCCTCACTTTCTCTCCTCCTCCCCTCGCCTTCCCAGACTGTAGGTAGCTAAGAGGGAGGGGATAAAAAAAAAAAAAAAGAAAGAAAGGAAAAGAGGAGGGGGGAGGGGCTGTCCAACCAATGGCGTGCAGGAGGCTTGGCTAACCTTAGCCTCCCATTTTCTCTCCCCCCGATTCGGGGCTCTGACCAGTCAGTCGCCTTTGATTATCAGTTGCCAGCAGCCCTTCTCTTGGCTCCTTGACACGAGCTCCATATAAGGCAGCGATCTCCATAGAAACGTGTCAGTTTCAATAGTAGTGTCAAAGTTCACTATATACAGACATTCGCACAGATCCCCCTTTCGGAAACATTGCTCTGCGAGTCCTCTCGTTTAAACGCATTCAATTTTTGGGTCTCTCTCTCTCTCTCTCTCTCTCTCTCTCTCTCTCTCTCTCTCTCTCTCTCTCTCTCTCTCCCCTCTCCCTCTCTCTCCTCTCTTTCTCCCCCCTCCTATCCGCTCTCTCACCCTCTCACCCTCTCTTCTCTCGCCCTCTACTCTCTCTCCCCTTCTCTTTTCTTACATATTCTACTAGTTGTTTCCCCTTCTCCTTCTTTCCTTTCTCTCCCTCCTTCTTGTCTCCTTTACTCCATTCCTGCAAAGAGAGAGGGCTAAACTTTAAAAAAAAAAAAAAAACCGAGGAGGAGGAGGCACCCCCTTCGTATTCTTCTTATCGTTATTTTATACATATATGATTTTTTTGGAGGGAGGGTGTTGGTTCCCGGCTGAAGAGCACTTATTTAAAATACTAAAAAAAGAACATTTTTGGGCGATCTCCAGGGTTTTTTAACTAGCTCTGTGTGTTATAGCAGAAGAAGCAGAAGAAGGAGCAAGAAAGAGGAAGAGGATTATTTATTCGACCTACTTTGGATGTCTCCCTCGCTTTTTCTTTTTCCTTTTTTTTCAATTATTTTCTTCTGATTTTTTTTTTTTTCTGTTTCGCTGTGAATTCGTCGCCGGCGTGAATTATCCCGTATTTTTCTCCCCCTTCCGTCACCTCCCGAAAGAAGAAGGCAGCGAGAGCCCGGCGCCACCGGCACAACAAAAAGAGCAAAGTGTGTGATCTTCCTCGCCGGCTGCCTCCCGCTCTCCAGCACTGCCTTCCTGAATGGCTGGCTGCGTCCGGCCCTGGACCTGGCCCCCCGACACCCGCGCGCCCTGATCGCCGCCAGCAGCCTCGCCCAGGGTCCTGCTCGGCTCACCCCGCTCCCTACACTCCCGAGCCCCGGCGAGGGCTCCCGCCGGGACAGCGGCGGCGGCGCGGGCGGCCCCGGCCTCGGCTCGCGCTCGAGCTGCGGCTCCGACTCCAGCCCGGACTCCGGCCCCGGCCCCGCTCCTCCAGCGGCGCTCGCTGCAGCAGCTGAGGCGGCGGCTCCAGCGGCGCCGGCAGCCGCGACCTCCTCCTTCTCCTCCACCTCCTCTGCCGCCGCCGCCTCCGCCCTCGCCGCGTTCCTCTATGTCGGTTCAGCCCGCGAGCTGCGCCTAGCCCGAGCGGCCAGCCGGCGGGCGGGCGCCCGGCGCGGGTGAGCGAGTGTGTGCGCGAGTGTGTGTGCGTGTGCGTGTGTGTGTGTGCGTGTGTGTGTGTGCGCGGGGGTGCGGGCAAGGCGGAGGGCGAGTGTGTGCGCGCGCCGTGGCCCATGCCCGCCGCCCCCGGCGCTGCGCCCCGCGCCGCTCCCGGCTGCCGCCTGTGCCATTTCTGATTTTGCAACTTGGGGAAGAAGAAAAAAGCGAGAGAAGGGAGCTTGCTCGCCGGGGGGTGGGGAGGGGGGGAAGAGAGCGCGGCCCCCCCAGGAACGGAGCGCGGGGGGGAGCGGGCGAGGGGAGCAGAGGTGTTGGGGGGGAGCCTGAGAGCCTGGGGGGGCTGCAAAAAGAGAGAAAGAAAACAGCAGGAACCACAACAAAACGCCAGCAGGGCGGGCGGGCGCGCAGCAGCAGCGGGGCGGCCGAGGCAGGAACGGCGGCAGCGGCGGCGGCGGCGGAGGCAGCGGCCGGTGCCCGGCTCGGGCTCGGCTCCCGCGACCCCGGGGCGCCCGGTGGGCCCCCCGCCCCCTCCCCCTCCCCCCTTCCCCTTCCCCTTCCCCTCCCAGCGCGCCCGCGCGCCCCGCGGCCCTCGGCGAGCAGCTCGGCTCCCCCCCAGCGCTCCCCGGGCCCAAAGATATGGCAATGGTAGTTAGCAGCTGGCGAGATCCGCAGGACGACGTGGCCGGGGGCAACCCCGGCGGCCCCAACCCCGCAGCGCAGGCAGCCCGCGGCGGCGGCGGCGCCGGCGAGCAGCAGCAGGCGGGCTCTGGCGCGCCGCACACGCCGCAGACCCCGGGCCAGCCCGGAGCGCCCGCCACCCCCGGCACGGCGGGGGACAAGGGCCAGGGCCCGCCCGGTTCGGGCCAGAGCCAGCAGCACATCGAGTGCGTGGTGTGCGGGGACAAGTCGAGCGGCAAGCACTACGGCCAATTCACCTGCGAGGGCTGCAAAAGTTTCTTCAAGAGGAGCGTCCGCAGGAACTTAACTTACACATGCCGTGCCAACAGGAACTGTCCCATCGACCAGCACCACCGCAACCAGTGCCAATACTGCCGCCTCAAGAAGTGCCTCAAAGTGGGCATGAGGCGGGAAGGTGAATATTTCTTCTCTGCTCTCCCCGCGCTTCACCCGCCTCCCTGGCTCTCTTTCTTTCTCTCTTGTCTGGGTGGCTGCTATGTGGGCTTGGGGCTCCTGTGGTCCCGGCCGGTCCCAGCTTCCCCAGTCCCCGCTCCTTTCCTCCCCCAGCGTCCCCCCCCCCTCCCCAGCTCGCTGCCGCTGCCTCCCCCTCCCGGCCTGCGCTCCTCTCCCCGGCTCCCCTACCCCGCCCGCTGCCTGCTCAGGATTGTGTCCCTGGAATCGTGAGCTGTGGCTTAAAATCCCCTCCCTTCCTCTGTTGGATGTGCTCGGTGTGTGTCTCTTTACCCGCGTGAGGATGCTGGGGGCTGTGCTGGCATGAACTTGGGCAGGGGTGCTTCTTTTTCTCGGAAAACTGTTTCTGTGTTTTGTGGTGTGTTGTTGTTGTTGTTGTTGTTGTTGTTGTTCATTCCACTTCCCCCCTTCCACGTCTTCATAGCCTTTATTTATAATGGGAGAGGGCTGGAGGCTGGAGTACCCTGAACCAGATTCCCTGCAACCATCATCATCCTCCTTTGGAAGCTTAGCTTGGAAAAAGAGGAGTGAGATTTATTGCACTTGTAGGTCTAATTAGGGGGGAAGAGGGGGGCTCTGGCCTGTTCACTGGTTCCCTCTCCTCTTCACGAGGCTAGGGCCGCCTCCTCCGGAGCTGTGGCCTTGTTTTCACCCCTCTACTTTGAAAGGAAAGTTTCTGACTGAACCCTGCTTTCATAGTAGTGTCATTTTTTAAAAGCATGGTACTCATTTTATTTCTTCATCTAACTCCACCCTCTGCTTAAATAAAGCATACAAATTACAATTTACAACGGCATTTACCAATCCTTCTGATTTGGTCATAATGCATAGACTGCAGCTGGCATGAGCTTCCGCATCATTTAATCTTTACGTTGTATGGTGATGTGTGTGTGTGTGTTTTTTAAAAAAAACACAACTTTTGATGTTATATTTAGATATGCTTCATGTTCATGTGGCAAGAGATGCAGCACTTTTCTGATTAATTTATTTCGCGGCTTATAGTTAAAGTTTATCTCCTGACAATCATTGAAGAAGTCTTATAGTCAAATTAGTGAAGCAGTCAATTTTACAGAATGCAGATTACTCCTTCTTGTAATTGACTTTAAAATTATATTTTATATGCTACAAGGAAAGAAATTGAATTCCTTCAGATCTCAAGGAGAAGGCAAATATGACGACTTCATTTCTAGCTCCAGGGAGATTTTGTAGGCATCTGAAGGGGGGGGGGAGACAACTTTGAATTGTGCTCTCATTTAATTGAAAAATAACTGCCAAGTTCAAACTATAATTAGAAAAAAAAGTATTCTGCCATTATGCTTCAAGAGCTTAAATTACACTGGAACTTGTGTTGAAATTAGAATAAGAAGAAACTTAAGAAAATGGTATACAACCTGAAATAAGACAGCTACATGGACATGGACATATCTATATTAATTTATTGAGGGAGAGAGTGTAGTAGTCCTAACTTTTCATAAAGTTGTCTTTGTTTACCTGGCAATTTAAAATGCTGGCACTGTTGAAGTAAAACATACACATTAAAAAAAAAACTTTGGTCAGCTTTAAGAACTCAAAGCATGCTTACGTTTTGCATTCAGATGGTTAATGAATCCAGTGTTTTCGCAGTTGCAAGCTCGTGCACTCACTGGGCAAAAGCTGGCTGCAGGTTGCAGTAGCTCGGCGCAGGACAGACATTAATTATATTTCCCACTTTTTTCAATAATGTTTGGCTACTGTAAGTTCAACTTTTTTCTTGAAATTTTTCCATTTTCTGTTTCTTTTAATAGTGAGAACTTCATATGGGGTTACCAGGAAGAGGGGAGAGGGGAGGGGTGAAGGGTACTTGTTCTCTACTCAAAAGTTGTAAGTGGTTAATAGAGGGTGTAACTTGGGATGTCTTTTAAGGGTAATTCTATAATATTTTTAGAGAATATGGTAACATTTTTATGAGTAAAACTCTGCTTTTTTTTTTTTTTGCAAATGAAGAGGCCGCTAGGCATTTGCCTTAACCACAACCTTTCTCAGCTTCTCTCTCTCTCTCTCTCTCTCTCTCTCTCTCTCTCTCTCTCTCTAACTTTGATTCATTTCTGGGGGTGAGTGAGGTTTCATTTATTTATTTATGTGTTCCTCCTTCATAGCCTAGGGTTTGGGTGGCACTTTCTTGGCCTCTTCAAGCTGGGGCCCTGATGTCAGGCCTAGTTCCTCCGGGGCTGAGGTGGCCTGGGGGTGGGAGGAGGGGGTGCAGGCTATGTTTGGACACTCAGGGCACAGACCTGGAGGGTCTCACCCCGCAGATCTCCTCGCAGAGTGGGCTGCGAATGTGAACCAGTGGGCTAAGATGTGCCGGGCCGGGGGCGCGTGTGACTGCCAGAAGAGCTGCATTGTGTTGGGTGCGCGGTGGCTCGGCGATGTTTGCAAGCCCTCTGGATGCACATTGCCTCTTTTCTCTCTTTCTTTTTGTCAGCGGTTCAGCGAGGAAGAATGCCTCCAACCCAGCCCAACCCCGGCCAGTACGCACTCACCAACGGGGACCCTCTCAATGGCCACTGCTACCTGTCCGGCTACATCTCGCTGCTGCTGCGCGCCGAGCCCTACCCCACGTCGCGCTATGGCAGCCAGTGCATGCAGCCCAACAACATCATGGGCATCGAGAACATCTGTGAGCTGGCCGCGCGCCTGCTCTTCAGCGCCGTCGAGTGGGCCCGCAACATCCCCTTCTTCCCGGATCTGCAGATCACCGACCAGGTGTCCCTGCTCCGCCTCACCTGGAGCGAGCTGTTCGTGCTCAACGCGGCCCAGTGCTCCATGCCCCTGCACGTGGCGCCGCTGCTGGCCGCCGCCGGCCTGCACGCCTCGCCCATGTCCGCCGACCGCGTCGTGGCCTTCATGGACCACATCCGCATCTTTCAGGAACAGGTGGAGAAGCTCAAGGCGCTGCACGTGGACTCGGCCGAGTACAGCTGCCTCAAAGCCATCGTGCTGTTCACGTCAGGTGAGGCTGCGCTCGCGGGGAGGGCAGGCCGCGCGGGGGACGGGCGCACAGGCATCGCCGAGCCAGTCCGGGCCTGGCCGCCTGCGCCTCCGGGGGGCCGCTACGGCCCCGCCGCGGGGTGAGACTCGGCCTTCGCCGGACCTTGGCACTGGCCTGGCTCAGCGGCCTCGGCGCGGGGACGCTGCGGCCCTGCTGCTGCCATCTTGGGAGGGCGATGGTGCGGAGAGCCGAAGCGGCGCGGGTACCAGCGGCCGGAGGCCTGGCCCTAACCGCCTAGACCCCCGCGCGGCCACGCGGCTGGGGCGAGCGTGCGTCTGGGGAGAGGGGAGAGCTGGGGGGAGGCGGTGTTGTGTGTCTGTCTGGCTGCGTGTGTGCGCGATGTGCCTGTGCCTGTGTGTGGTGTGCGGGTGTGTATGTATGTGTATGCGGGAGCCAGAGCTGAGCTATTCTGGGGGAGGAGAGCGCGAAGGAGAGAAGGTGGGAATGTGGCTTCCTACTCTGTGTGGCACGCTCATCTAGTCTCACTAGATGAGTTTCCCTACAGAAAAGAGACCCAGAAAGAGGAGGATAGAGAAGAATACCGACAAATAAATCATAAATAATCCCACTTTATTGCTGCCTGATTTTCCCTTATCGGAAACCATTCATGTTTGCAGTTGCTGAGGTTATTGAGGGTCGTAAAAAACGGATTCGATCTAAACAAGAAAGATAAAAAACAAAAGCAATATTGTAGAACCCGCAAGCAGGAGAGGATTCCTGGCCTGGAGATAAATTTCATAGCAATGCAAAACACACCAAACCTTGGAAATGTAAAGAAGTGCCTTAAAAATATTAAATTAAGTGTAAGCGGTGGTAACACGCATGTTAACAATTTCTCTTATGATAGATGGTTCAAATTAACTTCAAGGAAAGTGCATTAACGTTGCCTTTGAAGGTCTCTGGTCTGAGGCTCAGAGAATGCTACCCGCCTTTTATTATTGTAACCTGCAAGAGGGAAACATATAAACACCCAGGACAGCAGGTAATGGGGGGAGATATAAACAAAGCCAGAAAGGAGACTCATGGGGAACTGAGCTGCTTAGACTGGGTCTTGGACCCTGCCCACTGAGTGTATGGTTAGCTGCAGTTCTACCACCATTATTGGCACTATTGTTTTTAATTCCTCTATTCAGAGAACAAATAAACCATTCTAATAAATCTATCCTAGAGCCAGCCCTCCAATGGGCAAATTAAAACCATTCTTGGGCAAAGAAGGCCAAACCTCTTTCCCAAGGCCTTGCTGAACAGTAAGCAGTGGTATAATCTATCAATATTTCTTGGCTCTCATGCATGAAGAATCGTATTTACATTGTATTAAAATGACTCTTAAATTTGCACAATATTGTAATGTAGCAAATGTAGTATTAATATCGATCTGAACAGCAGATAATTTATTTAGACAAGAGAGGCTCATTTGTATGCAGGGTGACCAGAGCCATGGACTTGGACTGCCCCCCTTTTACTTTCAGTGAAAATGCAGGTCCGCTAGTGAGAGAGGGAGTTTTCTTTGCAAGAGGATAAAGTATGAACCTTAAAACAAATGGAAGATTTATTGAATAGCCTCCTCGGTGTTTGAATGCATTTTATCTTAATAAGTCTTCTTGATGGAAACGTGTTTTTCAAAAGTGACAAAGAGTCTGGGAAGCAGCGACCAGGCTCCTTTAGCTCTGGCAGGCCTGGGGCCTGGCTGGCTTTCCACTACCAGGCTCTTTAGCCAAATTCATCAGGAACCAAGCCAGTGTCAGAGAAGCTGGGGTTTTAAAATCTCATCCAGAGAGGTGTCTTGAAACAGAAATGTGGCTTGGAGCTGGACAGAAGTCTTCTCAAGAAAGCTCTCTCCTCTCTTGTCCCAGTTCCCCCTAAGATTCTTTGAACACTCTTGACTTTGCTGATCTCATGCCCTTTCTCAGAGAGAGGGGAAGCCTGTGCAGCCCGCAAGGAGCCCTGTGGAATTATTCATGATTTTCTTTTTTAACTTTTCATGCTAAAACATTCCTATGAAAAGTAGTCCTTAAAAAAAAAAAAAGTTTTGCAAAGAAGTTTCTTGGACCAAGTCTTAAGGTACAAGGGGTGCCTAAACGTGAACAATAACATTATTTGGTTGAAGAATGCAAGCAGAATATCTGAAAATTGAAATAGAGCTGTCAGTAGTAATTCACCCTCCCCTCCATACAACACATTTCCACTTTTGACTAAACTTGTTTTGATTGCCAGCCAGAAGGGAATTCATGGGAAGCCTTCTCAAAGTCATCCAACTTTTAAGCAAACTTTGAGTGATGGAAAAGACAGTTTTAGCCATATTGTCCAATGTAGTTTGCTCTGGCTAAGTATTTGAAGTTGGCATGGGGATCCCCCATGGTGGTTTTCACATTTGGCCTCCGGATGGTATGTTTAATCCTTAATATTCTGGACAGCATCCAAAGATTAGGTCGTGACCTGAACTTACTTTAAAAAAAAAAGATTACTTAATTCATATACCTAAATATTCCTTCAAATAAATGAGACTGTCTCTGAAAAGAGCCATCTAGTTAACATAAATACAATAAATCCATTTTCAGCACAATAATAACTTTGATTTCTAGTTATGGTAGCTGATTACATCTATATTTCCTGAACACTAAACTCTTCTGAATGCATAACATGAAATACATTCTCTGCACTACAAAGGCTAAGCCGGGAGGGCCTGAGCAGTAATGGTTATTTATTTACATAATTTCTTTTCCATACACTGTAGAAGAAATATTGAGGGTTCCCACATTGACACTACCATATAAAAAGTGAGACATGGGTTTTGTACACTCTGTCTCCTTTCCTTATCTGAAATATAACTCATGGTGTGTAAATATGTACTGCATCACATCCCCTGCTCACCTAGCTTATCCACCAGACCCACCAATTAATTGATTGGAGAGTTTTCACATCCATCTGTCCACAAATGGGAGAATCCTGTTACAGGCGAATAAACGAACACCCAGTGTAGAAGCCAGGCCAGCATCAGGGCTTCTGCTGGAGGGAGGTCACAGGGTTGGTTAACTGGTACCTGGCAGGCAGGCCCTGCTAAGGGCATTCTATCTCCAAAAGAAAAAAGAAATGGAAGCAGCCAGCACAGGGCCCATGCAGAACTTTGCAGTGCTTGTCTCTCTTGGAGTGTCCTGTCTTGAAGTTCAGAAAGTAATCTTTCACTTGAGGAACTATAATCATAAATATCACATAATTGCTTTACTAACCTAAGAAGATGTCATAGGGATCTTTAAAAAAAAATCTGCTGGGCTATAAGTGGGATCTTTTCCTATTTCATTGTGTGGCAGAGAGTGATGCATGGCATAAGGAACAGATAATGCATGTAAAGCAAGATATATGTAAATATGGGTCTGCATAATAGTCATTCAGTGGGGCCATATGAGTGAGCAAACCCAAAAGCTGACCTCAGAGTCCTCTTTCTAAGCAGTGAAGCCCCTAAGACGTACTGTCCTGGCCCTGGGGTCCATTAAAACCTCACTGGCTTCCCAATTCAGGTAGCGTTGAATGCATCCAATAACCAGCTGGCTGGAGCAATCAGACATCTATGAGGAATCCAGTTTGGATCTGAGGTCAAAGGAAAACTTGCCTCAGAAGTTCTTAAGTTATCACTAGTTTTATTTGTATTTTTGCTGGAGGCCACATCCTTGAAGATGAATGCGTTGTGAACCCTAGTTCTTGAAATACAAGGATATACAACTCAGAAACTCAGGAGACACTGGCTTTGCTTTGAATCATTTGTTGTGTCTTCTTAGGGTCACTTTTGCCCAATCACAGTCATATGGTGTCCTTTTGGGGGCATTGCCATACATAAATTTTCCTCCAGATTTCCATATTAGCAAACTCTGCCTTTGATCTTTAGTCAACCTCCTAACTAAATAAGGGCTCTTCTGTGATCTTCCTGATTTAAAATTTTACTGTTAATATAAAGGCATCATGAGTTTGTGACTAAAACGAAAGCCTTCCCCCATTCTATTCCTCCGATGCCATTTGCTTATCTCTAGTTGATTAATAGAGAATATTCTATGGTCTTGAAATATTTTTAGAGGACCAAGGAGGGCGTTGGTTGCCGTGGTATAAGCACACAGAGTTTGAGATGCCATAATTTTGTAAGGTGCCTTTTTCTCCCTTAGTCCTGACACAGGAAACCCATCTCCTAAATCCTTCCTTAATTCCCCTCTCCTCTAGTTCTGAGATGGGCTGCAGCTGCTGCCTCTAACCTAGCTTTGTGTCTGATCACTGAAGATGTTTCCTTTCCACAGCCTGGAGTAACTGAGCCATATTCCTTCTGATTATTATACAGCTTACAGAGATGTGACCAATTTTCAATTACTTGATCTACAGCACAGATAGAAGTGTACATTCTCACTGAGGATTTGTTGCAGAATCCTTGTGTGCATAGATAGTGGATCTTAAATCCTGTATTGCAAAAGCATAGACTTGATCTGATTCTGGGTACTGGCAGCCCAAGATTCCTACGAGTGCCACGTGTGTTCACTACACAATTTACATTCTCCTTGAGCTTTCTGGTTGAGGTCATTTGGGTCTGAGAGAAGACTCCAAGAAGTCTTTAAGAACTGCCTGCAGTTTACTTATTTTTGGGGGGGATCTTGAACACCCCAAAATCAGGGGCAGAGGGTACAAAAATCCTGCGTTTAATGAGCACAGCTAGAAAGATGCTCCCCTGCAGGCGAGAACAGGTTGCTACACACTGCAAACATGGCTCCAGCGTCGTACATTATTTAATCCAAAGGTGAAAGAGGAAAAACAAAGGGGCTAGAGAGGTTGCTTCCTCTACATGTATGCGCATTTCTGTCCTCCTCCCCTAGGCTAGATGGTGGTGGGGGTGGGAGGTTTATTTTATTTGTATAGGGGCAGGAGGAAGAGAATTGTGAAGAAGGAAGCAAAAAGGGAGGATTTCTTTTCCTTCTTTTTTCCTTCTTTGATTTCTTCTTTTTACCTTTTCTCCTAAAAAAAAAAAAAGAAAGTAATAATAATGGCATGTTGTTTGTTGTTTGTCCCCTTGTTGCTCACTGGACTAACCATGTGCCCCCTTTCCCTGTCTCTTCCTCCTGTGGCTGCTCCGGCAGATGCCTGTGGCCTGTCGGATGCCGCCCACATCGAGAGCCTGCAGGAAAAGTCCCAGTGTGCATTGGAGGAGTATGTGAGGAGCCAGTATCCCAACCAGCCCAGCCGCTTCGGCAAACTGCTGCTGCGACTGCCCTCCCTGCGCACAGTGTCCTCCTCTGTCATTGAGCAGCTCTTCTTCGTCCGCTTGGTAGGTAAAACCCCCATCGAAACTCTCATCCGAGATATGTTACTGTCTGGGAGCAGCTTCAACTGGCCTTACATGTCCATCCAGTGCTCCTAGACCTTGGGCACTTCCCATCTTCCCCTGCTTCCCCTAGAGACTCAGAGGACTCACCCAGGCCAAGGACCCCAAAGCCTCGGGTACTCTGGTGAGGTGGACCAGGCAGGCCAGCCGAGGGGGAGGTGGGCTGGGGACAGAAGCAGCTACTCAGCAAAAATGCATCCTGAGCTGCAAACCTAGGAGAAAAAGAGACTCTTTTAGGATCAGATCTGTGAGCACGTTGGGAAGGAAAGAAAAAGGATTTTTCTTTCTGGTGGGAAAATGAAAAAAAAAAAACAAGGAAGAGAGGACCATGAAAATTTTAATAAAATAGAAGGAGACTGGTGGACCTTCCAGGATTTCTTGTGGATGGATGTGGATATATTCTGTACAGAAAACAACACATATGGAAGTGGACTGAATCCTATGTAGACACACACACAAACACACACACACACATACACACACACACACACACTGAACATTGTTATTCATTTTGTAAAATACTAGTCTTTATTTTCATTTTTGTAAAATTTAAACATCGTATGCGCATAAAGAAAAAAGGAAACAAGAATTAGGGGAAAATAACATTTTCCAAATAATTATAAAAATTGTCCTGTGTCTATGTATCTATATCTGTTTTGTATTTTTTTCTGGTTCCAAACCAGATTTCCTGTGATTCTATACTAATAATTTTGATATAACCCTTTGCTTCTTATAATGAGTGCGATATATGTTGTCGAGGCTGTTCTTCAAGAATTAAAATTGAAGTGAAAATTTAAACAAAAATAAAAGAATTTAGCAAAATCCATGTGTCTGGTTGCTTGACCTGTGTCTCAGTGCAGAAACCCTTCCTGGTTAATTGCTCCTTGTACAATTGTAAGGTTTTTCTGCAAGCCTGTGGGGGGGGGGAATCTTTTGAGGTTCAAGACCACATTGGCTATATTCATTTCTTAAAATTAACTGTTGCCTTGGTTTTGTGTATATGAGGGGCCAGGCTTAGCATAGGCTGTTGTCTGTGGAGATAACAGGGTGCCTTGTTCATGGGCTTTGCGGGAGCTGAGGGCAACCCTGGGCACAGTTGGGTGGGGGCATCAGACATTTTCTCGAGGCATTAAGCATCTGGGCACTTGGCCTGGTTGAATGACCAAGTGTCAGCACTGGGAGCCTGAATAGAGTTGGGAGCTTGTGGGAGAGGTTTTGGAGAGGCATGCAAGTAGAGAAGCAGAAAAGGAGATGGTCACTCAGATGCTTCTGAACCCTGGACAATGGATGCCAGCCAGAGGCTGGAGTGTCATGACCCTCCTCAGATCAGTGATACAGAGCTGGAGCCCGGACATTTGTGTTCTAACTTTGCTTCCTTTTATGGTCCCCTGAAGATCTGTCTATGCATTGCCCTTCCCTCTAGCTCCTGCCACAGGACTTCCCAGAAGGGTCCTGGAGTGCCAGTCATTGAACAGAAGTCACATCCCCCGTGTGGCACTTAGAGGGATGGACCTGGAACCCAGGCATAGTTGTTAGGAAGCAGAGTGAGAGTGATTTCTTCCCAGAAGCACCATTCAGGTCCTAGCAGCCCTTGAAGGACAGAAACCTCCCCTTGAGGCGGCTAGTTGGGTGTGTGTGGGGGGCAGCTCTCTGTAACAGCTTTCGGAGCATGAATGTTTTATAGGATCTGAGCTGGAGCTGTGAGAACACATACTGCCAAGGGAGCTCTTTCTTAACGTATTAATAAAGCCAGATCTTTAAAAATAACACCCCTCACACCCTTTCCTCCCTCTCCCGCCCCCCCCCCAAGCCCAGACAGGCCCCTGGGTGAGAGGAGAGCTTCAGTTTCAGAAGTCACTGGCAATCTTTTCCTTTCAATTTTCTGCCTGGAAGTCTCCAGGTTCTTCCCCCTCCCCAAATGCATTAATGAGCTCCTACACCCCAACCAGCCAGAGGTTTTTAGTATTCTAGGTGCAGCACCGCCTGTGCAGAGTGGGGCTCACAGTAGAGATGTTACTGCTGGTCCAAAAAGCCAAAGCAGAGTCCTTGGGGACAGCGTAGACCGGGGCAGCTAGGTAGACCAATACCACCCCATCCTGGCCACCTCCTTTGTACCACATGCAGAAATATGTTTGGGTTCAAGGTGACTCTCTGCAGGTTGGGCACCCAAACAGGAAGGCCTCAGAGAGCTCATATTTAATGCAGATCCAAGGAGTATTTAGGAGCCATCCCAGGTTGGCTTGAGACAGAATGTGGGGATTGGGGTGGGGTGGGCTGCAGCTATGCTGCCGAGGGGGAGGAGAGGCAAGCTGCTTCCTGGAGCTCACCGATCTTTCCTGTCTTACTTGAAATGAGATGTAAATATATTCATTACAATGTGATCCCTCTGATGAAAACAGATAAACATTTTTGTAGGTCGAAAACGTACTTTTCAATTAATTTCAATATGGAGGCCTAAACACAAGCTCAATGCTGAGCGCTGAGCATAGTGAGTGCCGGAGACCTGAGGTACAAGAGACTCTTGCTGGGTGTATGGAGGTGACAGTGTCGGCCTAACTCTTGCTTTAGAGATCCACAGCACTGCCCATGGCCTGGGGAATCCAGATGGCCTTTCTATGGCCTGGGCCTAAGCCTAGACAGCTTGCATAATGAGAGGCCTCCCCAGGGTCTCACAGTCTCCCTTATGAAATCCTCTAGGGGCCAGGAAAACCTGGAGCTGAGGGGAAAGAGGAGTTTAAGGTACTCCAGCTCTTTTGGGGATCCTGCACAGTGGTTTTCTCCTGTTATCTTTTTGATGCCTAGGATGGACTCCACGTGCATTACACAAGGAGATCTGTTATACCAGGAGATCTGTGGGGTTGTGTGTGAGAGAGAGAGGAGGGGGGCAGGCTCAGGGGTCATTGTGTGTCAGTGCTGGATAAGGCTGCCGCGGCAGGCAGCAGTAACCCAAATGCTTTCCTCTAAGAGAAAGTTTAAAAGCCAGGATGGAAGAACCTTACCGCAGGTTGATCCTTTTGATAACGGGGAAACTCTGAGCACTCTGAAGGCTTCCTCTGGCTCCTGGCTAGGTTGTTTCTGAGGGGTTGAGGGCTGAGGGGTCTGAGGTCTGTGGTCCTGAGGACAGGCAGCAATAATACCCAGGTCCTGGATTTACTCGGACTGTAGGTGCTTCCTTGTCCCAGAGGCCGTGGACAGGAGGTGAGGTGGAGCAGGTGGGAAGCCTCCTCTGTCTGGGTGGCCTCCAGGAAGCTGCTGAACAACGGAGCCCACCTTCATGACAGGCACCAGGGGGAGCCGTGGAACCCCGGTGTGAGGCTGCAGGCCAGAAGGTGGCCCGGAGTTTGGGAGAATCCAGCTGCATTAACTGGGTGTGACAGGAATGAGGGGTTCCCAGAGAGCCAGAGGAAATATGTTTTGAAGTTGAAGAGCACTGTGGAAAGAAAGGTGCCTTTCCTTTCAAAATCACCTATGACCAAGCAATGCTTTTCTAGTCTAAACACTTGCTGGACAACTGAGAACTTTAAAGGCTTTGAAGCAGATTACAAAAGGCCACAAGCTTTGCTGAGAACCCGAAGAAAGCCTATCTCTGGACGTGCTCTCCTCCAAGAATTGCTAGGGAATGAAGCTGTACCTTTTCAGCTCCAGATTTGAGACCTGGCACAAATAAGGGAAAGTATGGCCTTTGCTGAGCCTCATCCACCCCCATCCGTCCCAACCTAGCACTAGCCTGGATGAAAAGAAGCCCAGAGGTGAAGAATTGGGTCTCCCAGTGTACCAGAACTGCCTTAATTTGTCAAACTCTACCCCTCAGTTTTTGGGGGGCTCTCTGCCTTGGGCATAGGTAGGGTCTTTGTAGGCTTCAGGAGGCCCAACCTCTCAGCTTTGTACCTGAGGATCTGGAGCCTGGGGGTTCACTTGTCCACTTGGAGCATACAAAAGAGTTTCTTTTCTTTCTTTCTTCTTTTTTCTTTTTAAATCTCACACTTTTCCCTTCACTCCTCTTTATAACTCCTCCAGTGACTATATCGACTCCTGAGAGCTTTATGATTCCTTAAAATCACTCACGGAATGTTTCTGCAAATAAGAGACCTTGAGAAGCATGAGGAGGGAGTGGAGAGGAGGATACAAGTGGGAACTAATAAAACTCATATTAAAGGGGCTGCTCAGGATCTGTGGCATCACTGGGCCCTTTACTTAGGAAGCCAAAGAGTTGTATTCTTAAATGAGTTAAAGACCCATTTACCTCTGTCGTGTTCTATTCATCAAGCCACAAGTTGAGACTTCCTAACATGAAACTATTTGTTTGCTTACACAACCAGCTGGGTGCAATTTCACGTCTCAGATATCTATCTGAAAGCGCCTCTCATTTATTATCTCTTCTTGTCAGTGAATCTATTTTCTAGCGCACCCCTCCCCCATTTGGAGTTTGTATTTATTTATTTGTTTATTTATTTATTTATTGTGGATGTCATTGCCTGGGGGAGGACCTGGGGCACCTGAAACACTCCCCAGGGAACAGTGGCTTTCCACACAGAGTCTGTGGGCACTTGAAAGAAACAGAAGCCCACCAGGCCACAGCTAATTCTAGCTGGCTGGTGGGAGAACCAGGGTGTGGTTCGGGCAGTGGGTGGGCCTGACAACTCTGCCGGTCTGCCTTTTTGCTTGAGAGCCCTCCCTGCTGACACTCCCAGTGTAAGCTGCAACCACCTGTTCCAGGGAGAGGATGGAGGTGTATGTGCAGAGTGGGGGAGGCAGTGGGAGGTGAGCCAGGATACTTTCCCCAAGATGGCTTCGGATTTGAGAGATGGTGTCACAAAGCCTCACCTAATCCCATGGGGCCAATTTCTTCTTCTGGGGGCACAGCCTAGAGTGAGTAACCAAGATGTAAATAGTTGCCTGATGGATTGGGGGAGGGGGCAACGCATTTATTGTGTGTTTGAGGAGAGAAGGCTGCACGTGGTTTCAATTTTGAAGCACAAAGAAATAACACGCAATGCAGAAAATAGGTTTATGAATGTAATTGAGAGGAAAGAAAACAATTAACACGGTGCAAGGTTGCACACTGGATTCCCCACCCCTCGCTTTCCCTTCTATCCAAATTTTGAGAAATCGGGGCATGTGAATAGACGGGGTTTAAGCAGTTAGATTCTGCTGACAGGGGGAACCCCTGATGGGAATCGCAGTGATAGCAAGATAATGGTGTCTATCCATCTCCTGGACTGCTAAGGCCTCTTCTAACCAAGCTGAAAGCAAAGGATCAAATCCCCATGTCCAACATACAAAACACCCCCAGTTGTAAAGGAGGAAAGGAGCAAGGGTGCCTGAAAGAAGCAGGAGGGGGGGTAGAGAGAGAGAGAAAGAGAGAGAGAGACTTCTCTAAGAAAGATCAGGCCGGTCTCTGCAAGCCATCCTATTGTGTTGATTTAGGAAGACATTTGCTGTATATAACGTTTAAGGCTGATAATATCATCACACAGCCAGATAAATAAAGCGTTGGCCCAATTGTGGGGTCAACGATCGATCTCTGGGCTCAGAGGAAAAAGGAGAGAGATAGGGTTGTGTGTGCGATGTTCTATGTGTGCTTGTCAGTCAGTATGCAGGGGCCCGAGTGTGTGTGAGTGTCAGGGTGTATGAGAGAGAGAGAACCAAGTCTTCAGCTGGCCAGGAGGCTCATTAGCATTCCTAACCCATGGACCTGCGCTGACAACTAACAGAGATATCCCGCTCACCACCAGGCCTCCTCTCCTTTTGTCTTCAGATCTGGTGGAGAAAAAGATTTCTCGGTGGAAGCTGGAGCCTGAACTTCCATGACATTGTTGGGAATTC